TCCTAAATCACATCATTATCTGTGACGAGATGTGGTGTCACCACTAGGAGCCAGAGTCAAATCAGCAGTCCATGGAGCGATGACACATGAATTCTATTATCAAACAATAAGTTCAAGGCACAGCTTTTAGTGGGTAAAGTGATACACACTTTCTTTTGGGACAGGAAAGGAGTAGTCCATCTGGATTTCCTGGAACCTGGACAAATCAGCTCCAACCATTACATTACAACACTGTCTAAGGTGAAGGCTCAAACTTCCAGAGTCAGGCTATTGAGAAGACAACCTTTCTCTTGCAACAAAACAACAAGCCCCACATCAGTCTGAAGGCTGTGGAGCACATTGCCTGTCTTGGCCAGGCTGTCCAGCCACATGCAAACATTGTATACTCTGGATTTGGTGCCTTTTGGCTCTCATCTGTTCAGGCTGATGAAAGACAGACTGCATGGGCAATGATTTCCTAGCAGTGTTGCTATTATAGGAGAAACAGAGGTCATGTCCCTCTGGTGCAGATTTTTACAAGTGCAGTATGCAGGCTCTTGTTCATTGCTGATGAAAATGCGTGACTAATGGTGGTGACTGTGTTAAAAAATAGTGTTTTGTAGCTGACCATTTGCACTATCAAACAGCATTAGTATGCTTTTCGTATCTGTTGTAGTTTTCATGGAAATAAATAGGAGACATTACTTTTGGAGCAAACTATGTACTTACAGTGTGCTGCTGCAGTCATTTCTTCAGTATTTTAGCAAAATTCATTTCATATAAGCAAGAATCAAGGGCAATAACTTCAAGCTGGCAAGGGCAGTTTTGCCTAAGAAGAAACAGGCTGGTTGCACAAATGAGGCTGGAATCTGTGAGCACTTGACAGGCACTGAGTGCTTTCTCTGTGTGAATGAGGAACTGATGAGTGAACAGCAGTGTCCAGCAGCGCTTTTTCATGGTAATGCCAAAGCCTTTTACTAGCAGTTTCCTTGTACAGATGGACTTCTACAGAAATAGTCAGACAGACATTTCTGCTGCCATTAAGAGCTGATGGGCTCTCTTTAAATACTGGAAACAGTGCAAAGCCAGAAAGCAGGTAAGGAGAAAGCTTTGCAAAATTACATACATGTTGGGGATATTGCACAGTAAATCCTTCTTTCTGATCCAACATCCAGGGCAGTACACTCTGCCTTTTGGTCAGCAACACTTCTGTGTCATATTTTCACAGAAAAAATCCAATTTCAAAGGCACATTTGAGAAAATTTAAATTGTAAATAGTTTAAGGGAGGAACTTAGTAGCTTCCTGCTGAACAAGATGAGAAACTGGTTAAATCCATGGGCTAAAATATGCTCAGTGTTTTAAAGGGGGAAGCAAGAACTTGTGTTTTCCTGAAGATATCAGTGATTAATGCATAGTCCTGTGGGGTCTCATTTACATCAGATAAAACATTCTGAGAGGTAGTTTTTAGTAAAATGGTGTCTTTCAGCAGGGGTGGAATCATTTTCTCCAGAGTGTCTGGCACGATGCTGTTTTTGGTTCTAGAAGAGAAACAACATTGATAACACACAGATGTTTATAGTTGCTGCTAAGCGGTTGTTGACAGGCCACTGTCAGCAAAGGACTCAAGGAACTGTTAGGAAACAGGATTAGGACATGTGACTTAAACTGGCCAAAGCAATATTCCATACCGTATGACATCATGCAGAAAGAGTTTTGAAGGAGGCGGGAGTTCATCTCGTGCTCCTGCACTGCTTGAGGGGCTAGCTGGGCTTTGGGTGGGAGATGGTGAGCAATTGCTTGTGTATCACTTGTTATATATGTTCATATATATATGTATGTACATGTATTTATATATAGTCATAACTATTATCTTTTTCTCTATCTTAGTAAATTATTTTATCTCAATCCATGTATTCTGCATTTTTTCCCATACTTTTCCCCATCTCACACCCCAATGGAGGGGTGTGAATGAACAACTGTGTGATGCCAGCCACATGCAGGGTTAAATGGATAAAAAGTTGAAAGGGCTCAGGTTCCAGCTATCTATAGGCATTCCCCAGAGAGATGTCATTGCAAGAGATTTGTCAGGAACACCCACTGGAAGTGGGAAACTACACTTCTGGTTGTGAGGAGGTCAGCATTAACAGATGTGACTAACTATGCTACTTTTTACTCTGTCTCCATGGACGTGAATGCTACTGTACCTAGAACATGATAAGTCTTATTCAATAAAGCAACTAATATTAAGGGGCATTATGCATACTGCAGGACTTCATTGACAGGGCAGAATTTTCATCTTTGAATAATACTGGGCTTTGCTTATTGCTGAATGCATAATGATTGTTTCTTCTGAGCTCTCTAGCTCAGCCCTGCCTTGACCCAGGAAGAGCAGGAGCAGAAAATAAAGTGTCAGAGCAGAGATAGAAGTAATGTTCATGGAGATACATAGATCTTAATGGAGATACATAGATCTTAATGCCTTCGATCACCTTCTTCACTAAACCAGAGCTCAGTGAATTTCCAAATTGAGATGTTGCAGAATGTTGGCAGCAAAGAGCAGCACTGCAGTGCAATTCACAGTGTTCTCTGAGTAGCTTCACAGTAATAAAACAGCAGGGCATGAAAAGAAATGAAGGTGATTTCTTTGGATGAGTGTAAAGGCAAATGTTAAAAGACAGCATGCTTTTCTACCTTACCTGTCAAGAAAAGAAAAAGAAAAAAAAAAAAACAACAAATCTCTCAGGGAAAGCATCATTCTTGTAGACAAATATGCCAGTGTATGATTTTTTTTTTTCAGATAGATTTGTGAAGCCTACTGTCAGAAAATACTAGTCAATAGTACGTGATATTTTCCCAAAGTGTGCTACAGTGCAGCCTCTGATGGATAAAAGACCGGAGCAATGATGTTTGCATAGATGAAATATAGTGTTACAAGTTGATCTATCGAGCAGAGGGAACTGAATCTTACCCAGTCTGAAAGTTTTTTCTTAACTGTGAGTAATCAAGAGGGGGACCCAGCTTGTTAACATCTTCTGTCACATTGCTGAATAAACTATTAGCAGTCGGTGAGCTGAGACATGACTAGGATACCAAAGCACATTTCATTGTCTTTGCACGTAATGCCAGCTGACATTCAGCTATCCGTTAGTGTCCTTAGGGGATAATTATTGGACTCTACAAGCTCATCCTAACTTCTAATTTGATGATCAACCAGCAGGAACCAACATATCCCCTCTTTCTTTTACCCAGTGTTAGGTCTTAGAGCAGTGACTAGAGAGCAACATTCTGTTGAGTAGGGAAGTTGGAAGAGACTAATGTAGGCACAGAGTTCAAGAAGAAATGAGATTTATGTGCCCACAAAAGAAAGAGAGAGAAAGAGAAGAAAAACTCAAGACTTGTTCCTTTTTGTTTTTTTTTGTTTGTTTGTTTATTTGTTTAGTAGGACCTTACTTGGCTGGTAATTATACTGAAATCTAGCTGATAGGAGGTATAAGAGCACGGAGTCACAGAAAGTAAATCGAGAACATAAAACCATTACGGAGAGGACAGAGAACAAGCTTTGAGTTGGCACCATAGTTTCCAGTATCTCATTCTCATATCTCCATGGTCTCTTGTACAACAGTCTTCAGTAGGAAAGAGTAACACAAAATATGTGTAAAGTACAGAAAGTCAAAATGGCATTCCTGTTTACTGCACCTTTGTATGTGATGCTTTTCTACAGAGTCCAGCAATGTGCAGTTTAGCAGGCTCTCAGCTTCTTCTGCTACTGTGATTTAAACATCTTAATTTTAAAAAAGTAAGAAGTTTAATGTAAAATTATCACAAAGCCATTGGGAGATCCTTTTGGTAGATGCTGTCAAAGTGAGTTACGTTTTTTCACCTATGAAAGTGTTCCTGGTATTCCAGGCAGACCTGTCTTGATTAATCCTTGATGTTAGTGTGATCTTACTGATGCAGGAGTCTGGCTCCTCCCTGAGTAACGGGTTGCTTCAACAAAGCCTTATTCTACAGGCCCAGCATCTCTGGTGCATACATAAACCAGGCTAAAAATGGAAACTAGGTTTGGGGGTGGATAGAGAGGTGGTTTAACTTTGACGCTACTGTAACTGTAACTGGATCCATGCAGAAATTCCTGTTGTTGAAATGCTCTCAGTGTTTTATACCTAAAGGTAGTAGTGTTAAATAAACATTGTACAGCATCAGAATCTTCTGGATTTCTCAGGCAGTGGTTTTCAATCTTCTCTGGCCTGTGTTCTCACATGAACCTTTTCTCTCTGAGCTCATTCTCAGCAATATCTCTTTTTTTTACTACTAACTGTTGATGTGTTTTCAGTGGCAGTTTAGTAACAGTCTGTTTAACTGCAAGTGCAGAACAACTTCATAGAATTCAACTCATTTTATGAACCACAGATTAAACTCAAATGTTCTGTGTTTTCTTTTTCTACTTCAGATCAGTGTTCAAGTATGTTTCTTTGCTTTATGTTTTGCTTTTTGTGGTTTTTTTTTTTAATCTTGTTTGCTTGAGGATAATGTATGTGGTAAAGGGCTGGACTTGTGTAATTTGTTCATTAAAAAAAGTATGTAACCAATCTGTGTTACATTTTAAAGTATTGGTTAGTTAAGCATAAGTGCTGGCTTCCACTTAGGGTATATTCAGCTTTCTATACTGAAACACCACTTTGCCTGTCTAAATTAATATATTCTTAGATATGCATAGTAGTCAAAATGAATATGCCACCTTGGCACTGCACATTTCCCTGAAAGTTGTTACAGGAATAAAAAAATTAATATCGTAAATATCATGTTTCTATTTTGATCATATATATCATCTTATATATCATCGTTCTAGCTTAAACAGAGTTATTGGGGCGTCAGCTGAAATTTAGCAGGTTTAATTAATATTCTAAAATGTAGGCTAATATTAGAAGATTCTGCCAAAAAAAAAAACAGTCTCTCCATTTTGTTTTCCTGAGTACGGCTGAAGTTGAGGCATTTCAAAAGAATTTTTGTCTCTCCACAGATCTTTCAGTGCGCAGAAGCTGTGTTACTATGCTGACAGACTCCACCGACTCAAGGAAACATGTAAAATGAAATGCTTTCTGTATTAGTGCCATACAGTTCTGTGATTCAGAGAGCGGTTTGTAATTTCCAAAAAGCATCCCAACATGCTTCAGTGCTTCACCTCTGGATTGATCCAGAGTTCAAAAAACACATTCATCAAAAGCAGAGAAAGCCGAAAGCCAAAAGTTGAATCCCTGGGTTTGTCATACAGTACTCTTTATACTTACTTTGCATTTGAGGATCTGCTACATATAATTTCTCCTTGATGTTGGAAGAAGTGATGCTCTTAAACTGTATCCAATGAGTGGAGCAGACAGTATGTGGTATCTGGGGAAAAATTCTTGCTAACAGTAGTCCAAGAAGGCTGTTCATTACACAAGCTTTCACTGATTGAAATAATTCAAACATTTGTAACTGTCCTTTTCTATTAGAGCAAGAGCTAAGAAGAGCAGGGCTTTGCTCTTGCTGCTCACAGGATTTTATGAACTTTTACTAACAGTGAATCCAAGTACATCGCTTTGTTTTTGTAACTCATTCTTCAGTGATATTATGATCTTATGAAATTAAAGGACTCTTGCCAAAGGTAGGTGTAGGGAATCTGGCTCATTAATGTTTGCAATAAAAAGAAAACCCTCTGGAGTTTGCAAGAAGACCTAGCCTCCCAGACCAGAAATGGGGTGACCTTTCTATTATTGAAAGTACTTTTCTAAAATCCCTGGATTTCATCAGAAGAATAAAGGTAATTGTCTTTCCTCTCGTGGATTGATTCAGTTCCAGGACAGAAAAATCACCTCTAGCTATCACAAAGCTATTAATGTTTCCTGGGTCATGCAAATTTTGAATTCTGTCTCTTTACTTTCAAAAAAAGATTTGCAACTCCCGTCTTGCTATGTGAGTCACTACCATTTTAATCCCTTCTTTTCAGGTCATTAATTTAATGTCAGTGCCTTTGAGAACATCGTATGTTTTGTGCCTTCTATTCCAAAATTAGTTTCTTGTCTTCTTCCCAGCAGGCTGCTGTCCCCTGTTGGTGCTCCCTGATGCAAAGGCATATCTTGCTATCTCTTGGACCTGCTTAGCTTCATTGTGTACTTCTGTGCTAACACCGTAGGCTCTATCTTAAAAAGGAATGGTAGGGCAGCAGACAAAGTACCCGGATTCGTACATAAATGTAATGAGAATAATGCAGCTCCTGTGTATGCCACATATATGATCCACTGTCTGCTTCTGGCCTGGGTCTCTCACTTCACTCTGCAGTTTCAAAATCTATGCAATAGCAAGAATACAAGGCTCCACTGCAGTGCCCATGACCAGCCTTATGTCCCTAATAGTATCTCAAAGCTACCACAGGAAAAGATTTGTGTCTCTTTTTCCTTTGCTAGAGAAGCAACAGAGCATTTTGGAAGGTTTATCTTGCAGATTTAATATGCTAATACTCAAGTCCAAGAATTTTGCAAGTTGCCTTTGTTTGTGACAGCCTTGTAGCTAACCGAGCCTTCTTAATGACTGGCAAATTATTCTTAGATTGGTTTAATGTCAGAGGCAGTTATTTGATACTTTCTAAATTATTTTAAATAGATAAAGAACCTAAGTAGTCCTGAAAATGGTGAGCAGGAGCTGTCAAGGAAACAATTTGCTATTGGAAACAGAGCATAATTAACTACCTTATTTAAATGACTTGACAGTAAGTTATTGGGAAGAGCTAAAAACAGGGGACTCTGCAGCAGCAGAGAGTCTATGCAATTGTAAGCGAGTGAGCTGTCTGCTTTCAGAGTGACCTTAATACAGAGAAATCAGCTTTGGGATAGAAACAAGAATAGTGGTCATTTGAAGGAAAATAAGGTCAGATTCACTATAGAGTTCATTAAACTGTTATGTCTTTTTGAATTTGGCCGGCAGCATCCTGCCTGTGGTATATTCCCCAACTAAAAACATCTATGTTAAATTCTTTACTGTCAATTCTTGCCTGAAGAGCATGCAGCAATGTCACAGTCTGCCTGCTTCTCCATGTGGCCACACCAGGGTGATCATTGGAATAATAGTGAATGAGCATGACTCAGAAACATCTAACAGCCCTTACAAGCTTGCCCTTAGGGACTGGCTTACTAAGCTGAAAGCTGAAATCAGCCTGCCCTGCTAGATGTAGCACTGCACTCTACAGAAACAATTCTGCAGAACCAGGGGCTAAGTTCACAGTGTGACTGTTTGGCATTTGGTTATTGGTGAGATGTTAGGGCCTATTAGTATTGTTTAAACTCCAGTAGTGATCAAATGCAGCGCAGACATGGGAAGAGAGTCACAAGCTGAGCTCACGAACTAAAAGACAATGTGAGGAAAAATAAAGACAGCATGGAAGCGTATACTTGGCAGTTAAATTCATCTGCTGGATATGAGATTATCTCAGACACACAGCTGGTTAGTTCCTTCTAAGTGTCACGGGTAAGGTTAGTCATTTTATGGCAGAAAGTAATCAGTGTGATTAAGCATGAGCTACCCCTGATCAATCCGTGCTGAGCATTCCCAGTCACATCCTTTGTCTTTCCAGCACCTGTTCATAGGAGACGTGCTCTGTGATTTTTCCAGGAAGCAAAGTGAGGAGCTGACTGGCCAAAAAGCTTGTAGATCCTCTGGTTGTCTCTCTTGCCCTTTGTGAAGATGAGTGCAACATTTGCCTTTCTCTCGTCAGCAGGAACCACGTTTAATCTCCATGACCTTTCAAAGATGATGGAGTGTCCTTGATACAAAAGTGATCTCTTTCAATACTCTTCAGTGCTGCACATAGTGTTCCATGGGTGTGATGTGTTCAGGAGAAGCAGCTGAAGTTGGTAAAATCATTCAGGGTATGGGGGCATGGAGGACAGCATCTACTTGGGCTGCAATTCAGATTTCAGTTTTATTCTCTAGTATGAAGGAGCAGGAGCTGTAAGTCAAACTGAATTCCCATTTGTGAGAGATATAAGTATTACATCTTGCCAGAAAAGGATCCCATTACCACCTCACACTCTACGTGGATTCCATCTGCTTTACTTCTATTACTATTACTATGTCATCCCTTAGGTTTTTTCAAATGTTTACCCCTATATCCTTTATAATTCAGGATTTGTTTTCACCCCTCCCCCTATGAGTGGCATGTTTTGCTCCTCTTCTGCCAGTCTGTGAATTCATTGTGTGCTGGCTGGCAAGGCACCAGTTCTAGGGTGACAGATGGGGGCAGACTGCAAACCGGGCAGTTGCTTCCCAGCCCGAATGATATTTTAATAAGCACAGAGAGGTGACAGAGGGAGAAGCTTCTCACTGGAATGACTGGCAGTTTTGTTTTCAGCCTGAAAGCGCTAATAGATGACTTTTGGCATCAATCCAAAAATACAAAACCAAAGAAACTAGAGGCAGAAAATCCCATTAGCTCCTAACTTACCCTCTTTTTTAAGGGTTGGAGAACATTTTTCTCTCTGGTCTATTCTCCAGATAGTGAATTGTTTCCTTGTTTCTTGTATTTAAGTTCTCTCTGAGGAATTCTATAATTTGGGAGACTTGCCTTTCCTTCTCTTTTTTCATTTTATTTACTTTCTCACTGTCTTCCTTCCTCCCTAAGCAACCCTTCTTCTAGTTTCTTTACATTCTTCACAGATCCACAATGAAGTCTGCCTGAATAACAGGCCTTACCATCTTGGCTTCCAGCTTCTGCATCCTGTGAAACAGCTGCTGCAGTGCCAGGCAATAAGATCTGCATGGCAACCTCTAGAATGAATGTCCCCTTCTCCTTGCCCTTCAGCTGTATCTCAGTTGCATAATATAAGACCTGCGTAGGGCTTGCTTTCATCCTTGGTTTTAGGAATAAAAGTGCTACTGAATAGAGCTCTGGCAAAATCCTACCAAAATCTGAGATCCCTCTGCAGTGTGAGCAGCACACTGTTCTGCAAACAAACTGCAAGATAGTGAGGCTTTCAGAGAAGATTCTTTTTCTTCCTACAAGTACAGGAAAAAAAGGTCCGGCTATCCCTGGGAAAATATCAAAATGGTGCTGGGGTACGGCTGAGATCCCATACATTGATCAGAGAACACGTTGAAAACTTCTTAGTATTTATTTGATGCCTACTTAGCAGGATTCAGCTCTCTTTCAGATGAAGTACAAACTGGAAATTAATATGATTCCTGCTAAAATGTGGTTCTTCTTCTTTTCAGATACAATGATGGCACTGAAGGTTCAGATTCTGTTTGGCTTCCTCTGGTGTGTGATTTTAATGCCTATAGATGGCTTCCCAGTAGACAGCAATACTGAATTTCGCTCTGCTTTCTCAGTGGCCAGAACCAGCAGCATGGAAGGGAGCTCTGAGATGGTCATTACCTTTGACAAAGTGTATGTGAACATTGGCAATGACTTTGATCCCAAGACTGGGTTGTTTCGGTGTCGTATTCCTGGAGCCTACTACTTCTCATTCACAGTTGGGAAATACCCAAAGAAAAACTTGTCTGTCATGCTGATGAGAAACAAGAATGAGGTGCAGGTGATTGTGTATGATGAACATCACCGAAAGGAACGGAAGGTAGCCAGCCAGAGTGCCATGCTGCAGCTTGACTATGGTGACACAGTCTGGCTGCGTTTACACGGAGACCCCAAGTATGCTCTTTACAGCAATGTAGGCCCCTATACAACTTTCAATGGCTATCTAATCTATCCAGACACTTCTGCCTTCTTCCAGAACGCTCTCAGCTCTCAAGAACTGGGGCCTCACCGTCACAACGTTCAGAAACTTCCAGGAGAGCAGAATGCAGCTTCACAGCGACATATGTTATCCGATCAGCCTAAGAAGGAACAAGACCCTCGCTCTGCATTTTCTGTTGCCCGCTCACAAAGTCTCCTGGGCACAGATGGCAAGCAAACCCAGCACGAGCCAATCACATTTGACACAGAGTTTGTGAATATTGGGAAAGATTTCAATTCCTCCACTGGCATCTTCTCATGCCGTATACCTGGTGCATACTACTTCTCCTTCACCATTGGCAAAATGCCCTTTAAGACCATGTCAGTGAAACTTATGAAGAACCACAATGAGGTGCAGGCCATGATCTATGATGACAACCACTCCAAGAGGCGGGAGATGCAGAGCCAGAGCATCATGCTGCCTCTGCAGTACGGGGACACCGTCTGGCTCTACAGCCATCAGCATGATGGCTATGGTGCCTACAGCAACCATGGCAAGTACATCACCTTCACAGGCTTCCTGATCTATTCGGAGCCTCAGCCAAAGCGGCTCCCAGGTGCCAGCTCACTCCAAGGGTCAGAAAATTAAATGTGGATGTGAAAGGAGCATAAGAAAAGCCAGGGTGCCACGAACTTGGGTATAGCTCCTCTTTGGATATAGTCCTCTACTTTGAGCATGCTATCATGTGTACAGTGCTTTCTTTATGCTGCACGATTGTGCTCTGACTGCAGGGCCATTGCTGTGTCTGTCATTCATCCATAGAAAAGTCTGTACAGGAATGTATGTGTGTGTCCTGTGTTGGTGTTTGACTTAAGCATAAAGCATGAGGTAGTTTTGGGGCAGGGGTGGGGCAATGTAGTGAAATGCTGAGGATCAGGGAACACTGCAGTCATGTTACTGCAGATCTCTAGCATCCAGAAAGCGAAGGATGTGGTGACTTTCCTTGCATATGTGGGAAGGAAATAAATGTAATAAAAAATACAAAAGGTGTAAAATTTCCTCAGGTTTGAATTTGTTGTTGCCTGTGAAACTTGTGTACTTGTCACTGCCTGAAGTGTCAGCTCAAGAGAAAAAGCAGCACAGTGTACAAACTGCAGTATTGTACATTCATGTGTGCAAAGTGTTGGTACCTTTTAGGGTTTTATTGGAAGTTTCATAGTATTTGATGCTTTTCTGAATCTGAACCTCCTGAATCAAGAAGAATGCACAAGAAAAGTGTTCAGGAATCTCATCTTCCATTTAATGAAAACAATACATTTAAGAAAAGAAAAGTCTACTTCTGTTTCTTGTGGTAAAGGATGAGGTCTCAAATCTAGGAATGACCCAACCTCTGAAACAAGATTGCTTAGAAACAAGGTAAGTAATAGGAATTTTAGAAGTACTTTTAAAAATCTAATATTTAGGTCATGACTTGTACGTGAATAGTATTGTGCCATGCCTTGACATTAACTTCTTCAGAAAGTAACTCCTTGAACATAAGGATATGGCTAAGGTTTATGCCGCACTGGTAACCTAGCACAAATGGGATGGAAGTTACCTCTGAGTGCCATGTTCAGCAGTTGTGTTCCAGTGGTTTCCTACAGGCTGTGTTCCGTCGAGCCGTATTGCTGCTGCAGTGGGACTGCTGTGGCTGTAGAGGGCACTGGTACGTTCCTAAAAGGCAGCAGTTGGGATTTAGGAAACCAGCAGGCTGGAAGCTTCAGCGCAGTGCGGTGAAGTGCTGCTGCAGCTGAGCACAGCTAAACCCTGGTTTGTCTCCTAAAATACACGGCAGAAATGCACCATCTTAAGCATGCCTGGAACTGTGTGATGTCCCTTGAGTTTAACTTGTAGGCTGCGCTCAACAAGTAGCAAAGCCCTTAAACTGACCTTAACAGCATCCTGAATTCAAAAGAGTACACTTGCATCTGCATCACCAAGCCAACCCCCTGGATCTTTACATACAGCTCTGACTTTGCATTTTGCAGCAAGGCAGTATTTCCAGGCACTGCTACCATCCCAGCTCAGCCTTTTAATGCTGTTCTGTGCTCAAACTGGATGTGTTTGCAACCACTTCCTAGCTTTATCACACTGTATGCATCACAGACATTAAAGACTAAAGGTATATTTGGGAAAAGGATGACTGGAGGTACACTGAAAAAAAAAAAGGAAAAAAAAAAAAAAAGGCCAAAGAACACTGAGATAGGACACTATAGGACACTAGCTTCCTAGCTTCCTAGAAGCTATACTTCAAATATAATGATAATCTTAGTCCCTACGCCTACATCCTTAAGAGGGAAAAAAAAAAAAAAAAAAAAAAAAAAAAAAAAAAGCTTTATGAATGGTGTAAATCTGTTCTGTAGCCTTTTGTAGCCCTAACCTGACCTCTAAAACCACTCTCTGTGTCTTCTTGCTTCCAGGCTTATTCCTGTCTCAGAAATACTATTTTGTCTCTCCATCTGCTGGGCAGCAGTGGCTTGGAGAAAAATAAACTAGGTCAAGAGCTAGCAGTTCCCTCCTTGAATGTCAGACACCTCCTTTTTCAGCATGGAAAATTAAGAATGTATTGATAGAAAAGAAATTACAGATCCCACCATCTGCATGTGCAGTGAATACTCAAAATTAATGTGGCAGCAGGAAACCCAATAGAAACAAACAAAAAATCAAAACCCTCCTGTGTAGATGATCATATTTATTTAATTCCACACAGCAATGTGTAAGATAGAGAAAGTTAAGAATCTCATTCTATAAAATAATTACGTTTCTGATTTTGAGTATAAAGATTGTGTGTTTGTTATGTTTGTCTTGTAAAGTGCCATAGCAGTACGGAAAAGAACTTCAGAAGAGATAAAATCTGCTGAAGAAATAACTAGGTCACTATCCTTGGGAATTTAAATGAGATATAAAAAGTATATTCCAAACTGCTGGCTGACACAAAGCAGTATACATATGTAAATATAATATACAAATACAGGGAAGCTTTGTAGAATACATGCAGTTTTGGTTGATCTTTTAAGAAAAATGAACACGTTATGTGGAAAATTACTTTGGGCACATAAAATGCGAATTGCATAACCAGGAAGCTGAAATTAAATGCACTACCTGTATTGTGAAACACAGCAGCATCTGCTTAGCTGATTACTGGAGAGGAGAAAAAAGACTGCATTTGGCTGAAACCACAGAAGGAATAGAGGACACCAAGCTGAATTATTCAAGATAAATTCTGCTAAGACACCAGTGTAACATCCTGGAAAAAACCTGCCAGGACAACTCCCTAGAAAGCATCAGTGATCAAGATAGATAACACTTCTAAATAGCACTGCCTACATCAGCCCAACCCACTTAAAAAAAAAAAAAGAAAAAAAAAAGGAAAGTGTGAGATGCAATTTTGGGTTATGTCCTGTTCTATCTAAAAATAAAATGTTGTGTATAAATACAGAGAGCTGGATGAGAGACGTGGCATATTTCTGCAAAGTCCAGAATAATGTGGAAGGATTGTCAGCATTTGAAACAGCCCGGATTGCAGCTGGGGTCAGATGCATACCTTCCCATGGTTGTTTCCCTTATTAAGTGTCTCTCTTGGTCCTGGCCAGATTAGAGCGATAAAAATGTTTCAGAGATGCTAAATGTGAAGGCTTTTCCTTCGAGGGCCAGGAAGCCAGGAGGAGGGTGGAATTTGCAGGGCAGAGCCCCTTGCACAGATCACGAAAGATTTCATCAGCTAACTGAGAGAAAAAACGGATCCAGAGATTTTTATCCAGACCCTGAACTGAGCGGATCTGATAGGCGCAGTAAACACTGGTGAAAAGCAGGCGGTCAAACTCTGTTAGAGGCAAAGAGCTATCAGTCTGTGAGTAATATCTCAGTTGCTGCTCAATCTCCATTGGTGTTTTGGGAACTTCACGCTCTAAGATCTGCATGAACCACCGTGCTGAGCGCAGGGAGGCCAGCTCTTCGTCCCGCAGCTGGATTGTCCCGTTGGCCTGAATGTCCAGCCTGCCCCAGAGCATCTGGAAGAGAAGAGCAGCACACGCATTGCAAAGCCTCCTGCTCGACCTCCGTCACTGCCAGCACCACACCCTTTCTCTGCCTGGCTCCATGCCTCGGCTTCCCCACGGAGCCCCATCCAGCCCTCGCCTCCCACCTGCATCTCCCAACACTGGCCCACCCCACAGAGGTGTTTTCCAGGCATTCCCAAAATACAATGAGAACAGCACACAACACGAGAATTTTTAGGTGCAGGCTGATGGGAGCACAGGCACTGCAGTGCCCTGGAGACCTCTAACATGACGTTGGCGTCCTCTGGGCCGCGGTGGGGTGCGTTGGTGCTGACATCGTCCCTGCTGTAAGGATGTCCATCTGCAAGACATCAGGCAGAGTTGGACACCACAAGATCATGGCCCTTCCCATTTATTCCTATCATTTGGTTGTCAATAAAGCCTTCAGTATTTCTGAGCTGGCACTTGCAGCTTGACAATTATGACAGATGCTGACCTCAGGATTTCAGTGAACAACGCAAGCATCACGAAAGAAGCAGAAGGGGTTAAGGGAGGAAAATTTGAGGTCTGGATATGATGATCTCCAGTCCTGCCATCATGGAGCTAAAGCAGCAAGGGGATTTGCTTTAGAAGACATCAAGGAAGCCCCTCACACTGAGCTGGGTGCAGCAGGAGGTGAGCAGATGGGTTGTGGCAATGGGTTTCTTTGTAGCTTTTGCAGGGAGAAAGAAATGCTGCCCAATGGGAAGAGTGCATGAGAAGGCTCCTAGAACTTCTGGTGGAAATAGTACTTGATGCTCACCCTGTTTTTTCATTTGTTCCCTGAGCATCTGCCAGTGGCAGATGCAGATTATGAGGCTGTTCTCACATCCAGCTAGTTCCTTGCTGGGTCAGCTAACCTCATTTATATGAGGATATTAGTAATAACCTCAATTATTAATATGAGAGTCACATTAATTCTAATATTTATTAAATCTTCTGATGATTTAAAGTTCTGCATTTATTTTACCTTTTCTTTTACTTTCTTTGTGAAAAAAAATAAAAGAGGAGCCACGTGTTTCTTCAGCCCAGGATTGTGGGATGGAGGCTGCAGCTCCTCCCTTCTCCATGTTGATCTGTGTAGTCACAAGCCAGGACTCCCTTCTATGGATCCTTCGCTCCAGGAAAGATGAAATATAAACTGGTATAAACTAGTAAGCTCTCTGACACTTATTTTTTTTTTCTCCACTTTTATATGGAGGGAGGCTTTTCTATATTAAGAAAGAGGGAGAATATATACTGAGTACTCCAGAGTTAAGGTCAGCAGGTGCTTATGAAAAGCAGAAAAATGATTTCATATTGCATGTGCATGATGACTACTCCCAAGCCCCACTTCCAACTTTCCGTATTTTCTAAAGCTTTTCAGAGAGATGTACAAGCTGCCTGTGCATGCTGTCTCCACAGGCTGAGATTTGTTTCTCTGCACAGCTGCAGGCTCCCTGATCTGAGCCACTTGAAGCTTTGGAATGTGAGCAGAGATGTAACTGCTCTTTCCTCTTCCTCCATAGACGTGCCAGCAAAGCTTTTACACCATCTGAAAATTACTTTGTTGGGCTTCCCCTCTCAGCTAACTGATACACTAAATTCACAGAAACCTCTAATGAGAAACATCTGGCTGGCTTGTAAAGTCGGTGATAGCCGCGAAACTACTGTTGTTAATAAACATAACCAAAGCATAACAAATAATGTATTGAAATAGTTAGATAAATGTAATTTGAAGATGGAAAAAAATGATCCCTTATTTACTTTTATCATTTCACAGTAGTTCTTTTTCCCAAAAAGCATCTAGAAAACCTGCAGACATCATTGCAGGAGCAGATTTTTTCAGTAGAGACCAAGAAAACCCTCCTCCTGTCATCAAAAATAGCAGCAGGTCTTCATCCTGCAGGTAGGCATTAATGTCTCTCTGCTGTACAAAAGCCAGCTAGGACTCCAGCTAACATGCCCTCTCCTACATCAGCACAGCTAGCTGATGCATTTGATCATATCTGCAGGCCAAGTGTAGTACTGCTGGAATGACACAAATATTTGCCAAGCCAAGAAGCTACAGCAACGAACGAACAGGTGCACTTCCTACCTGTTAGCCTCTGGGATCCAGCAAAGATGCACAGGATCAGCCAGGTGTTGAGCTGCACCTGGGCCATAGCAGCTGTGCCCAGTAATGGTTCACATCCCCTCTGCAGACTGTGCCGAGTCTGAAGTGAAAGCTGTTTGCTGTGGTGTCTCTCCTGGCTGCTTCTGATCCCAGCAGCCTCTGCTAGAATAGATCCGCCTTTCTGTGTTTATGATTGCAGCCCTGAGAAGGGCCTTG